AAAGGTCAGCTTAAAAAACCTACATTAGCCTTAGAGAAACCTCCAAGAAAGAAACCTAACTTTCCAGGTGAGGAACCTGAGCTTCAATATGAGGGTAGTACGGAACTGGGAAATCTGCGTGCTATCAACATCGTGGTTGTGGGTGGTGCCATTTCTCACCACAAACTCGGGCATATACATACATGAGTTGCAGTGGAACATACCACATGGATCACATCTGCATCAACAAAAATTCACCAGATATGTGTAAAATGTAAGAACAGGGAGAAGAGACGACATCGTTTCAGATCACTATGTGGTGGTGATCTAGCTATAACTGAAGCTACTAATAATGCTAATGAACCATTAACTTCAAGATATCAAGAAGTGCTGGATACAATATATAGTCTCAGTAGGCTTCAACAATGGAAAAACAAGAAGGAAGCAGTCAGAACAACCGAACCAAACTAGAGGAAGCCAAGACACAGACTGAAGACACATATGCAAATGAGCAAGTGGAGAAAGAAATCAGAACGGACAAGTGGGAATATGTAGAAGACCAGGCACCTAATGCAGGAAAAGCCGCAACGAAAGGAAATATAAACAAACTACAACCGAGAACGTTGCAGATGAAGGTAGTAAACGAGAGCCAACAAAGCCATCAAATAAATAAAGTGGTGAAGCCCCACGACTAGACAGCATATTATTTGTGACACTGACGTCATATATACAGATAACAGTAAACATGTGCCTTTGTTCAGTTCAGAAAAATTTGGGAGGGACAATAAGAGGCTGAAAAAAGGACATCTCATCAAGATAATAAAGAAAATCTAAGTATTAAAACCACCAAGGGATCTCAAATTGTTATCACCATATAATGTCTTCAGCACTATTGCCTAACCAAATGAACGATTCAGCAGATAACAAATTTGATATCAGTAAGCTGGATTTCATGTTCCAACCAAACTGTAACGTCACGGGCCACTTTTACGCGGTCGAAGGGTTATAACTCATCTCGATATCAACTTCTCTGATTATAAGGAGGCATTCGGCAGCATGGATAGAAAATATTCAGCAACTATCGATAGGAATATAATAAAGAGTGAAGCATGAACTATATGTGAGATCAGCGAACAGACGAAAATAATTCAGTATTACCATATTGCTCACTGAATGTCTCATTTCAACAACTGATTGTGTGAGTGCAAATCTGTTACATTTTAAATACAAAAAGCATTGAGGTGATACAATTGCTTCACATAGTCCACTTTAATATAAGTAGCACACCTCTGTATTAAATAACTCAAAAAGCAGTTCGAGCTCAAAATCAAATTGCTTATGTAAGTTGTGATGATAACGGATTTTTATGACAGTAATTACATGTCTATTTTATTGACATAATCAATAATACACAACAAAGGTTGACAGATATGGTACTATCAATGTAGGGTTATCAAAAATATTACACTAGTAAGTCCAGAAAATTTTGCAACTAAATGTTCTTGGAAATATATTATTTTGGTATTAAACAGACTATTGCAACGAAACAATTCGATAAATTTGACGTTGTTATGAAGTCAGAGGAATAGGGTTCTTGGTAAAAGCTGACACATTGGCAAATGTGCACGTCAAGTGTGTGTTCCATATTCAAGTAGAAGTGCACTAGCTGTGTGCTACAGACATGGCGCTGGGAAAAGAAAAGTTAGGCAGTAGGGTTAATAAGTAAAAATCCTCAACAATGCTTGAATGCTTACAGTCGAACCCAGGACCCCCGGTCTCACGAGCGAATGCTAAACTCTAGACCACTGAGTCCGCGTCCAAATGTATTAAGGTCTAACCTTAATCAATGTACGATATTGAGCACCCACCTTCCATTGTCTTTGCTAGGAAACCCCCTCATATTTAACAAGGGTGAACTCCATTGTTCACTGCCTCTCTTCGGAACTCCGCAGAATCACGAATGTACACTACCAAGGAGCCTCATAATGGGACAAAATGGCTATCCAATTCCTTCAGGCTTTCGATGATGGTCTAATACTGATCGGTTCACTACCTCAGTAAACAAGAACGTGGTGTTCATAAGCGCTAATAACTTCACAACTTTGTGATCTATTATTTTTTACTCATCGTCCCCCTTTTTATCAAACTACAACCCTCCATTAACTGCTCAAGAGCCTGAATTATCAAATAACAAGTTATTATGGTATAATAGCAAGCACAATAATAAATTAGAAACAGGAATCCAAGAAGTAACAAGCATAGGATAGAAATCTCAATATTACCGAATGGTTGTCACATGTCTAATCATAGAGTCAGAGACAAATAAAATTTTCTAACCTAAATACTTTGGTCCCATTATCAATGTCTGTTAGCCAGTGACTTCACTTTACTTCGTGTTAGACTCAAAGGTGCCACAAGTATTCGGAGTGTGACAAAACCTTAACCAGTTACACCTTTTATAGTCTAAACGTGCCAACCCAGTCAAGTCAGAAGTCAAAAGAGAAGATGTTTAAATATAAATTTGATAGGCTATTGATATATCAAAAAGTGATCAATGTAAGCTATCTGGCAGTCGTAGGAGATGTGGAGCATGGCATACCCACTCGTGATTTGATGCGGATGCATGACCGAGCGTCCCTATATAGGCGATTCCACTAAAATTAATACAGTCAGCATCAAATGTCGAAGACTTACAGAGATATTGATCTTAGGAATTCATTTACCGCCACGGACTATTTAAAAGTAATTTTCCGAACAAAGGTAGTCCTATTATAAGCTCTAAATTTTATATCTTGTTTTACGTTGCTATTTTCTTAACTTTCAGGTTATAACCATATCTCACAGTTACGAATTTACAACCATGATCGATAGTTCGATACAATATCATATATTACAAAGTGTTATGTAAGGGTTTCCAGACAAACATAAGGAAAGAATAGAGATAGATGGGTGCCTATTAAAGTAGACAGAACAGTGAAGGCATATGACACTCAAAAATAATGGAATGGTTCAAACGGCTGTGGATGGAGTAGGAAAAGCTTTCGCATAACAGGCTTCCGTGTCTAGTAGCAGGGGATCACCAATACCTCCAGGCAGGAACCTAGGTATATTACCTATAATAGATTTTTTAAAAAGAAATCGGTAACCCATAATAAGATGTCATCCTCAGTCCTTAAGAATAGGTCGAGTTTCCTCCTAAAGGACCCCTGGAAAGTCGCTTGAACTAGCTCAGCCGGCAGCGAATCCCAGCACTTGACAACTCTTAAGGGGTAGAAGTTGTGTCTAATGTCCGTTCTGCTTTGTTGTGTCTCCATTTTCTGGGTGTTACACCTTAGGTTTGTATTGGGACCAAGCCTAAGTAGGTGTTTAAGAGGGTGTCCAGAAGTGTTAAAGATACTGTAAGCCATCAGAAGTTCACCTCTAAGACGCTTATACTCTAATGAGTAAAGATTAAGTGATTTCGTGGCTCGCCGTTGGATACGCTCCAGAGTGTCCTTATCCTTTTGGAGTGAGGGAGGAAATACTATGTTTCCGTACTCTAAATGGAGGCAAATATAACTGTCGAAGATTATGTGGAAAGTTCTTCCGTCAAACTGACCAAAAATGCGCTTCAATGTTACCAGTGCAAGGTTTGCTCGTAAAGCATTTTTGTCACAGTTAGCTTAAGACTTTAGATCGTAGGGCACCAGGATTCCTAAATATTCTTCGACTCGGGATACCACTAGAGAGGAGTTTCCTAAGTTGGAACTGTAGTCTGTGACATGACGCAGATGGACTACTTTACAATTTGAAGTGTTAAAGGTAAGTCCGTTGTCGTCTGCCCAACTTTGAAGTCAAGTCAGATCCTCCTGAAGTGCCTGTATATAATCTTGGTTGCGTATCTCTCTCCACAATTTCACGTCATTAACAATGAGTAATAAAGTAAAATTAACGACAAGTTAATAGTATATATATATATATATATATATATATATATATATATATATATAGAGAGAGAGAGAGAGAGAGAGAGAATGAGAAGAAATAAATAAGAAAGAGTCCATTTTGGCTTACAATCAATGGTGTTTTAGAGTAGCCACTTCAGTGATAGTTTTCTAGGTCAATTGATGAGAGACGACTGGTAGTCAAGCACCACATTTTGAGCCTTGAGTAATGAATCATTAAGATATGTATCTATTCTAAGTAGTTATGAAAAGAGATATGTAGTAATTAACGATAGAAGACATATAACGATTAAACTGGAAAATGTAGATTGTACGCTGCATAGTCTACTATAAAAAAGCAGTCCTGGGTGAGACAGACTTTGGCTACCAGACATTTACTTATTCATAAGGTTCGATTTAAAAGGGTTACACCAATAAGTATATCCTGATCCGTTTATAATACATCAAGAAGTTGACAGAACATCAATAGTTTTACATGAAAGAATAAAAGTAGACTGGAAATCAAGAGTAGTGAAGAAACTTAGAGCCCAAGACATTTTAAATTACGAGAGGAACAGACAAAATGACCAGCTTTGATTAAGCGTGAATGTGAATTCGTTGTCACGAGGTAAGCGTTCAGAAGAAGATTGAGAGCTGAAGTCGTCAGCTGAGAAGTGTGTTAAACCATTTAGTATTCCGCATATACTTGTAAGAAGAGCCTCTGTGATACATTTTCACGAATGAAACATCAAAAACATTCTCTTACTTGACTTTTTAACGAGGATATATGACAGAATCGGTACGACACAAACCACGATCCATATTATATTCATTATCATAGTCATCATTTTGAATTCAGTACAGTTTCACGAGTCTTCCTATTTCAACCATTTTCTCCTCAATAACTCAAGAACTCCACTGCTACCGCCTGATACTAAGGTTCCACTGGTACCCAAGTATAACCACCTCATAGTCCTACTAGCATTAGGCTTTCATAATATTCCCGGAAATGTACTAAACAAATTACTTCACTAACGTAATGGCTGACGATCTCATGTGATACACACTCATATTGAGGTGTAACTAACACAAATACCCGGAAGTTATAAAATCTTGCTCGTCAAGGTCGGGGTGCCGGCTTTGCGTTCTTTGTTTCCAGGTGAAAGTGGCTGCATTGTTCTACTTATTTGTAACATGATCTCATAAAAAATAACTATCTTTATTTCGGTCTTAATGCTAACAGTAATAACCTTTTGGAGAGACCATAATATATGAACGTCCTTTGAGCAGCGTTAAAATGACCTTGAAAATGTCCACCTACTATGTAGGACTAAATGAGGGGTATAATGCAGTGTAAGGAATCGTAATTATGACTTAAAGTCGGTGGATAGGGTCAAAAGTTAGATATAGGGTTTTCATCACGAACTGACATCAGCTATGACAATGTCATAGTGGCACCTTTGTATTTTCCCATTAACTTCCATTAAATTTGAATCTTCTGCATTCTCTCATAATTTGCTTCTTTTTGGCCATATTTAATTATACTTACCACTTCTCTCTGTCAATAATCCTATCATTTTGACTTCCTTGCTATTATCTTTTTCACTGGTTTACTAATTGTTGTAAATGATCTAGAATTTATAAAACTTTGTTATACATATGGTCAGATATTTGTGTGATATGCAGACCAATGTTTACGCCATGCTGATTACTTCAAATTCATTTAGAAATAGTTAATTTCCCTGGTTATACGTCAAAAAATTTGATGAGTGTGGGTTTTGGTTGTAGTCGCATTTCTTTACTGTTAGTATCACATATTAGTGAAATAAACCTTATAACATGTGCTTGTTATAAATCTGCTCACTGTGTTGTTTCAAGCTGAAACCAACACTGCATAAAGTTATTTGTCTTCATTTGGGGATATATTCGTTCTGTATTTTTGTTGTCCTAGTAATATTGGGTAATAATGACAAGGGGTAGGAAGTCCTTGCTTTCTGGTATAAAACTGTCCTACGCTTGTGAATGGCCAAACTGCTGTAATACTTTCAACAACGAAAATTTACTCAAATATCACCAGCTGCAACACTTTAGAGTAAGTTTTATAAGTAATTGTTGCTTTAAAATTATTGTCATAATTCCGTCTGATGAGTTTACTCAACCATAATCCATCATTTGATTTGATTATGTGAGACAATATATTTAAAGACAACTTAGCAAACTACGACTTGTGCAGTTTTCTGCATGCATATACTAAGTGTGTAAGATATAAGTCAAAGCCATACATTTGCGTCTTATATAAATACTTTTGTTTCCTTTCAGTAAGGTGTATTATTTCCAAGGGTAATTTTACCTCTATTTTTAAAGTCTATTAACCAGAAAACGTGCTCCTTGTATTTATTTACTCGAGCTACTTTGTATTCCTAATACTTGACTTATCTATACTAATCCTCAAAATTTACTTTTGAATATTTTTTTATATTTGACTAACTGAATTTTGGTTTAAAACTAGCCTCTCATTCCATTTTGTGTTTTTAGGAACTATGTGAACAACCTTCACAAGGTTCACGTCTTCCTGTCTGTGGCATATGTAACGCCTCTTTAAATATAACTGATGTTGACGGGATTGAACGGCATTCGTTTTTTCATTCATGGGTTAACCAACTGAAAGCTATCGGGAAACATATTTTGGAACTAAATGACTGGCCTATATGTCTATCCGACTCAGTATCATGTAATTTGATCCCCGAACTTCCAACCAAATTCGAGTGTGGTTGGGAATATTGCGATTTTAAAACCAACGATGTTTGTGTATTTATTACTCATGTATCAAGACACCCAGAGGTACTATTTTCTATTCAGCAGACTATTTTTGTTTGTATTTTCTGTACAATTTTTCTGTAATTATTAATTTTAATTCTATTTCATAAAACTTTTTACAACTGCTTATGATATTCAGTTCGTGTATTTCCTAAAATTGACGATCAGTTAAAAAAGATTAACTGAAACTGTTGCGAATTTTCAAGATTTTTACTTAACAGTAACTCAGTCATAAATAATGTATACCCTAAGACAGATGTATCTCGGCTTATGTTACTATATAATAATAAGTTGGTTGTAGAGTAGTGTTCATAGCAATAAAAAGAATCAAACATAATGAATATAGCTCAAAGAGAAGGAGCAGATTTGTGTAGTAGAAAGTCTGAAGTTATGTCTAAACTCAAAATCCGAAAGATGATCAAGAATAAATCCATCCACGTAAGTTCTGTCGTTTTTCAAACGTGTCATCTAGTCTCCACATTAATTAAACTTATCATACAAACTCCACTCCGCATGGTTGAGTTGTTTTTACCCTTTGGTTTGGCTACTAGTAGCTTTGGTCCAATTTAGTCCTTTGCTAGTCACCATTATTTGTCTACTTAGTCAGTAGTTGACCATGTATGATACTCTCATCCTCATAATATAATCTTATTTGATCTGTTTTTTGTCATGATCTGTATTTTTTTAAATGACTAGGACCTTGAGTAAAGCATTTGCTTGGTATACCACGTGGATCCAAGGCAGTCCGGAAAATCGGCAGTGGTTGACTAACTGCCAAATCACATAGTTAAAACAAAATAACAGTACAAATAGAATGAAATCTGTTTCAGATCAGCAATACTAACACGCTTTACCCAACACCATGTTACTTGTTTATAATGAAGAATTTCCAATAAAATTCCCTTTTCGTGAGCATTTGACTTATAAATAGCTATAAATAATAGTATGCACATTTACCAATCGATAAATGGATGGAGCATATTTGCTGCTCATCTCAAACTTTTTTTGGATTCTTTAAGGTTAACCTTCTCTACAGTCTATTAGAAACAAAATGTTAAAGAATATCTATAATTGTCAGTTTTTAGTTAACAGAAATAATCTTAGTGTGAAAGTAATGCCTTATTCTATTTCAAGAGGCCATTTTGTTCCTTTTAAATACCGTGTAAAGAAAAAGAAAATTGTAATTCCACCATGTAACCACCAATCTTAGTCGTGGCTCATCTGAACAATTAAAGATTAGTTTGAGTTCCTCAAGGTTCTTTACATACTCAACGAATGATCCAGGTCACTTTGGCTGGAGATGATTTTCATACTTTTTATGTTTCATTTGAATAACTATTCCGTGCTCCATTTTCACATAATTTCTATTTTCTTTAAAGAAAACTGGGAAATTTAGTTTATGTATATGTACATATATATACGTAATATACCTTGGGATTTTGGTTGTTGCACGGATTAAATTTAATATGAAACGAAATTTACAGCTCCAGTGAGTACAACGTTATTGCTACATATATTTTTTCATAATTATTAGCTATTTTATATTTTCGTCTCAACTACTTTTCTTTTGTAGGAATATACCGATTCTCGATATCCTACAAATGTACAGTTAAAGTGTCTATGGGAGAATTGTACATATATGGCTAATCGTTTAAGGAATCTTTCACGTCATTTGGATACTCATACTCAAGCCAAACGTGCAGCTTGTCCTACATGTGGTTTATTGCTTGTTGATTTCCGTAAATTAGAAGATCATCTTAAACGCCAACAAATTCATTTATTAAATAAAAGCACCAACGTAAGTGCTTTTGTGTTATATATATATATATATATATATATATATGATTTTGCATCAGTTATCGTATTCGAACAAAAAAAAATTTTGAGAAATAATCACTTGAAATCTATTCTAGTTTCTTTTTTAAATATTTACATTTTGACTAACAATTTTAATGCTAAAATTAAATGCATATGTTTTGATGGAGATTTTTGCTGGAGAATGTAGGTTTCCAAATACTGCCATCTCTTCCCGATGACATGTAAATCTCATAGCCTTTTTCCATAGTTATAATATCCTACTTGCAATAAACACCATGCAGTTGTTTCGTTCGTTTAGGCTGGAATCAGTATTCCATTCAATAACATCCTGAGAAAATAATATCCATGAACATTAGCTATACTAACATATAAATGTTATTGAACAAAGATTGAGACTAAATTTTAATTAAAATTTAATAACTTAATTATATACTGATGGATTCCTTTTTCCAACAAAAATATTTCATCAACTACATGGAAGTTATCCCAAATGAACCGTGGTCATACTTTAGTAGTATTGTACAAACTGTATTTTTATTGACGAGTTTGTAATCTCTTTGGTCCGTCATACATTCCTACTGTTATGAATGCTAATAAAACACCAAGTGTGTGTATGTTAGTTTGTAATCACTCATTAAATCATCTACAGTAAATGTAGTATAAAACAAGTCAAAAACTAATAATTTGCACTAGAAAGCTCTATCCCATTTTCGATTATGCGAATTTCTTTTCTTTTATCCATATATATTTCAACGGGATAGTATTGTAGTTATATCCTTGTTTTGTCTGCCCACAAGTCTGCACAGGGAGAAAGTTGTCTCGATCTATTTTACGGCCTTGATGTGATAGGCCACTTAGTACAACCTTGAGGCTTGTAAAACTTGAGTTTGATGTTTGACCGGACGGCTTTGAGGGCAGAGAGTTAGCTATCCCACCGCTGACCTGATAGGTTGACAAGTGGAGAGAAGACGATTTAGCTAACACAGTATATTCAGCTTATTCTTGATTTAACCAGCCCAGTGTAAAAACAAAAATAAAAGGCTAACGACACTACAATGCACAGAAAATGAGTAAAATACAATTACATCCAAACTGATAACATTAGAGTAGAAAAATGGAATACAAGGTTTGCGTTTAAATCACAGTGATTTTGGTATGGAAAAGAATCCGACAGTAATTTATGCATTGAACAAAAGCTTGTGATTCAAATAATAAAGCAGATTAAATGTTAGTACTTCACAAATTTCGAACTAGACGAAGTAATGTCTTGGAAAGTAGCTTCCACTTTTGGTCATTGCTCCTTTATTTCTCTCTTCACAATAGCTATCATCTGCATAAAGTGTTCACAATACCAGTCTCACTATATTGTAAACCTATACTGCTTTCAAGGTTAAATAAAGTTCTCTGTCGTATTTCCGCGCAGAAATATCTTAAAACCAGTTAAGCATTTATTAAAAATTAGCAGTTCAAAACTGTATGATTTTGTTTTAGTCTGTTTAGAAATGTACGGTCATAACCAAATATTTTCCGACGACATTAAGTTGCTTAACATTATAAGTTAAGACTAATTTGTTACAAATTAACTGAAATTGAAGTCAGTCACTGTAACTAGATTCACAAATTCAACGTATTGTTTTAGAGCCTCGGGTTATTGAGTTCCCCTTGGTTTGTCATTTATCTGTTATTCTAAGTAGTCTTAAAACTGAAGAAAACGGTCCATAACTGTCAATATGTACTCGAATACATTTAAACTGCGATAGGGAACACCTTGATAAAATGTATCGATAATATTTAGTTATTTAGTGTCTCATATCATTTGTACCATTGAATTTTTTTCTGCTGTTATAACAATCTACGTCATGAATATCCAGTTTACTTGTTTATATTTATTTCACAGTTTAAGGAGAACTTGCATCATTCGGTCAAGCCTGTGAAGTGCAGTCGTTGTCGAAGAGTATTCAGTACACAAAGATTATTGATGTCACATATGAAAAGACATATCAATACAGTGAAATGCCCTTTTTGTGATATGACTGTCTGGAGCAAGTCAGGTATGTATTAAATGTTTTTTTTCTTAGTAGTTCTTCACACATGACTTGGATTAATGCGTATCTGTCCTAGGTTCTATGTCCTTTACATCGTCCTCTCTATTGCGGTGGTCGAATTTCATACACGCTTTTCATTCCGTTTTGAACTTGTTTGTACATACTTCTCTGTTTAGTACCTATACCGAAACAGAAAACTACCATCTACTCCCTAAGTATACAGAGTTTTGTCCACTGGGATTTTAACTCATAACATGAAGTAGGCGCTTAATATATTGTCCAAAACGACAATAAAACTACAATTCCGTCACATGGCTCCGAAAACTAACATCACCAAAGCATCCACTTAAGCTGGAAGTTTCTATCATCCAAAAAATATATATCTTGAACATCGGTAATTATCTGTCACTGGGGTGATTTGCATCCTGTTTTGGAACAAATATCGGATCGTTTCGAGGATTTTACACTATCAGCGTATCTTCAGTGAAAACCTATACATCAATAAAGGGTGTTGATTTCAATTGGTCAAGAAAACAAGAAGAAGTAACAAACTTTAATCATGAATAGTTACCAGTTGATAAAAATATTAATGGTTTCAAAATGTTTGTAATTTATTGAAGTTTCCAATCACACGATTGAGTGACATATCAAGTCGAGCGAAACAAAATGCGAGGTTATCTGTAGAAACTGTTCTATAGTTACAAAACCATATGAAGTATATTGTAAACATCAACTTGTGAGATGTCTACGGTATTTACCAAGTTCATGTACTCGAGAATATGTTACGTCAACAGATATGCTTTATATTATATGCTCAAATACTGCTAGAAACGGAACCGGCTACTGAATATCAGTGGTATAAATAATATACGAAAAGGGGCGGAAAAGAAAGTGAGAAATGAGAATTTAAACGAACCTAACTTTTGGTTATGTAACACTTTTAAAAATGCATCATTTGTAAAACAAGTTTCAGAATCACACATCCAGCAAGTCAATCACTGTACTCAATTAAATTTCACAGTGCAATGAGAAAGATTAACCTGTTTTCAATAATAAAGCAGTTCAAGTAATCCATATATACATATTATTATACTACAAGTTGTGTATAGCTACAATACCAAAATATAGGTTAATATATCCAGTCCTTGTTAACAGTACTTTTCAACGGCGAAGCAACTGAATAGTAGTATACCCGTGAAAGGGTTTCTTGAATGAGGTCCCTGGATAAATAACGTGCTTATGTAATCGAGTATGAAATATTAACCATATTAATTGTAGAAAATCGCTGGCGAACTGACTAAAAATACTGCATGCTAAGGAAATAAAATTACTATGTACATCCATAATTTCCTTTTAAGTTGACTTGAACTATGAATAACGTATTAGATAAGAAACAGTTAATCAAGACTTAAAAGAACCGTCATAAAGCATCAGTGAAGTCACATTTCTACGCATCATGTTATTCTAGTGTTCGGACTATAGCTTCAAAAACCCAAACACTACAGAACAAGACTGAACAACACTGTTATAAAGAATAATTCGGATAAAAAGCTAGAAGTTCATATATGAAAAGACTAATGAGTACTGACTAACTTTTGATTGTAACTTGGAAAAGGATTGGGAAAGTAATCATTCCTTAATTTTCTCTACGTTCAATTACTAGCTTCAAAATACTGATCTTATTTAATACAGTACTCATTTACCTATTAATGAATTAGTCTGATGATGTAAATAATGTTCACTCAATATTGGTATACTGAAATTTTCACACTCGTAATTTTAATTCCTTTTCTGTCTTTTTGTATTTTAAAAATAAAAAATCTAGCTCTAGAACGTCACATTTTATTTCGACATTCAAATGAGAAGCCACTTAAATGTCCATACTGTAATTTTACATTTAAACTTACCAATTGTTTAACGCGACATTTAAGTTCTAGACATAAAATTTATGAATCAAATGAAAATGATAGGAAGTCAACTGATCCAGTTGTATCGGATACTATTCAATCGGATTTAGTTGGTAAGGTTTATCCATACTTTTAATGCTGTAGCTGAATTCGGCTTAGTGTATAAAGCTTTTGAATTTTTCAACTACATCTTCACATTTTTTTACTACACAGCTATTAAATTCGTCAACTGATTTTATTTAACATTGAGTCATCATCTCAAATGCATTTTCACTTAATTTACTAAAATGTTCCAGAGACATTGTTTGTTTTGAGAAATTAGTTAACGAAACCATCATTCACATATCTAAAGTGAATATAAATAAAAATTAAAGCTTATAAATACGATCCGCTTCGAAGCACTGTGATTACTATCATTCTAATCATGTTACCAATACAGTACTAGCAATAAATAAGTTACCAGCTTAAGAAAATAGATGCGGAAATTTTTCTTGATAGTTAATCATCCTCTATGTCATGGCTGTGTTTTAAGGAAATAATGTGAATAAACTTAATCTTACTGAACTTTCAATAATTAATGGCTTACATTACACCATTTATTCGATATCTTTTCCAGCCTACTGTCCTCACGTTATTTGTTGGATCCATTTTACTTGCTGATATTTGACTGAAGCCTCTACGTGGTTGTGATACTATATAGTATTGATAGGAGTTTTAATTAGAACCCTGACTTTAATGCTTACCTGCTTCTAAAATAGAAGTAAACTAGTTAAAAGTGAATAGAGTCATTTGAGAATGAGCAAGTTATAGTAAACACAATCATCTGTGGCTTGGGTCCAATTATCCCGGAAGTGCCATCTCTATTTTTTCTTCTAACGTGTTGTTTGAAAGTGTCTATTCGTTTTTCCAAGGGGAAGTTTCGTGTTGTTGCCGTACGTTTCGTCGATACATGTCTTCGTAAATGATTAGGATTCCACGTCCACTTGTCTTTTCTAACCGCCACCTCATACCTTACCTGACATAGTCTTCTTGTCATACACCTCTCTATCTATGTATCATATCTGATCTGTGGTCTCCGACAAACACAGGATCCAATTTTAAATGCTAGGGCTTTCAGTGGAATCGTTTTCTCACAGACAGTCTCTTCTGGTAATAGTAGGTGGTAGGTTTTTCTCAATATGCTACCCATAGGGACTTCTAGTAGTACGTCGTTTGGTGTAGTCCAATAGACACGTTAAAAATCGTATAGTATATCGACGGGCATCTCCCGAAGGTTTTGACGAAACGTTCAGTCTGCCCACTTGATCGTGTATACAAGTAGCGACCACACACGGTTTATTGCTTGACAGCAGCGAGACTCTTTGGATTGTTCTGTTGTGAACTAGCACTCATTATCTGATGGCGCCTGACAACTCATTACAGCAAGAAATGTCTACTAATGTTTGAAGTGTTTTCTTGGTAATCGGTATTATCACGAAGATAGCCTTCAGCCATTTCGAGTAGGTATCCACCAGCACAAGATACGATACACAGTTTTTTGGTGAAATTCAGGATGCACGTTTCGTCCTATTTGATACTCGTCAGCTAGGTGAACGTTCATCCATATGTAGTTCTGGACTCAGTAGCTTTCGATTCAAAAATCAACACGTTATGCACTGAGCTACTGAGTTCAGGTATCCATCAATGTGTTCAACAGTTATGATGTTTATTAGTAAGGATTTTACTTATTCCGTTTTTGACATTCTGGATTAAAGTTCGGTCAGCCTTTGTTGGTGTATGTGTATTATTCTTCTCTAAAAACTTGTGACGAAATAGCTATATCGCAACAATCTGTACAGGATATATAGATTCTAAGAAAAACTGATCAAAACCCAGTCCTGAATATGAACAACGAAATAACTTAACCTCTTACGAATAATGATATAAATTTAACTGTGTTGTTGTGGACTTGTTTTACTGTTAATCTTCGATTATTTAGTACTTAAAGTTATTTCTCTTAGAGTTCTCTGTCTCCAGCTACTAAATATGTATACAATACTGTATCCCGCATGATATAGTCAATAAAAGCTTCATACTAAGTTACAATAAAGTTGAAGTTAAATTTTTTTCTGCACATGTTACTGATAAAGCCATATGACATTCTCAAGCTAATATAGTTTTACGGATGGTCATATGTAGCGGCCAATTATGAATCCACGACTTCTTTACATTCTGGTTGGTTTTTTTGTCTATATTTAACGTATTAGATTTGCTAACTTACTTAAACACCCTTGTTATCTATTTTAATTAACTAGAAGTATCCTTTACCCAGATATAAAATATAACTTTTAAATTATCCTAAGAATAGAAAGTAGTTTTAGTCTAGATTTCTTTTTAAAAGAAACCCTACGTAACAGTTGTGCACTTGTATTACGTAAGAATACTAAAGTATTTTCACAATGATTTCTATTGAGGGATTAATATTTATAAAGTATTTAAAGGAATATTACACAAGACTTACAAATTGGCACATTAACACTGAATAAAAATAAGCAAGGAAAATTTTCAGTGCAACAAAAGCATCTACTTAATTTCCTAACTTTATCGGATGATTTAAGAAACATATGGTTATCATTGCAAGAAATCTGAAATTCGTCATATGGAAGCTTGTTTTGAGAAAAATTATGTTAGTTTACACATGCGATTTTAAACTCCATTAACTTACTTATTTGTCTTACTTAATTTATCTTAAAGGTGAAAAATGGCCTCACTCCATATCTATTGCTCCAATCCATGGACCATTAGCTCAAGCTGGTGCCTTACCACATGTTCAAGCAGATATTTTAACTCCTACAGACAATGATACTACTCCTTGTGCAACAGTGGATGTATTTGTTTGTCCTCATAATGGTTGTAATTTCAAAACTAACAAAAGAAATGGTTACCTTGTTCATATTGGTCGTAAACATCATCCACTTCCATCTAGTTCATCACTAGAGCCATCATCAGATCGTCCATATAGTACCGATAACTCACCAAATACTTCTCAAGAACGTTTATATATGTGTCATATGTGCTCTGCTGTTAAACGACGGGGTATGTCGTATTTTTGTTGCATCATACCATATCACCGACTTAATAAAGTGTTCTAAAATATGACATCCAGTTTTTATACCGTAGATAGCCTAGTAATTATCAAAAAAGATGAACTCACAAAGTCTAGTATTCGTCTTTCCTCCAGAAACCAATTTTCATTTCTTTAACTTAAAGCATCTTTAGTGTGGAATATCCAATTACATATATCATTGTTTATTGTCCCTCGTCCAATAACTTTCACTGATACGCTTCATGGAACTGCTTTATTTCATTTCATCATACAGTCAACCTCTCGATAGTCGCAGACTAATCAATTTCTCCGGTTACATTAATTAGTTACATCCTATTCGGTACTGCTTCCGTCGTCCAACTTTGCTTATAAATACTAATCTAATTTTCGCTTCCATCCCTAACAAAATATTGGGACAAAAAATATGCAGTCATTTGATCCCATAAATGCCCATCATTTTCTTACTTCTGGGTTGGCTAGTTACTTTCCTCTCTTATAAATCATTTTCGAAAGGTAGTTTAATGAGTTTCTCAAAAAATAGTTTGTTTCTATACCCTTTCGGTTTTCAAAGCCTTTTTCCATTGTTATGGAAAAGCTCGGTATACTGTTATTCAGTGATTAGCTTACAGCATAAAATAATCAGACGGTTTACTTTTTATGGTTATAGATCATGTATTTCCTGTCCTTAACTGCTACCTTGGCGTAATGGTCGGGTTCACCTATCGTGATAACTCAAGTGAGCTTTTTTAGCTGAAACATAGATTCCTCTAGGTCCTACCATGCTCGGTAGGTAGGTCGGCTGAAGAACAGTAAGATTAAGAGCAGCAACTTAAGCTCCGAGGACGAAGTCGTACTTCTGACGGTAGAGTAGTGTAACAGCAGTAAAGTGTTTCTCTCGGACAACCAGCATATGAAGTGACTCTGCCTTTTCTCAAAGTAAGGAAGGGAGGGGTTATAAACGGTCTACTATTAAAACGTCACACCTCGTCTTACTCGTCGGATTTCCGTCTCCGGCAGCAAGTTTCTTCGAAGTGCGGAGTTAACACATCAAAAGCTTCCCGTGAAAAGGCCATGACTGACCGACCTCAAGTAGTTTTCCCTTAGGTTGTGAGGTCATACTCAGCTTCCTTTTCAGGTCTCAAGAAATTTCCTTAAACGGTGTGGGCATCTTGAAAGTGACAACCGCCTTCATACCGCTAGCAGCATCTAAAACCATCTTGTTCACGATCATATCGCTCCAGAAACTTATAACAGACCTTGTATTGATATTTTAAGGTACGAAATTGAAATTTTACTCTGATGATTATTTAAAATATGTTAAGAGATCTAATGTCACTAGCTGATTACACGTATTAATGTTATCTACCATACGATTATTGTTAATATTACTATGATAATGACCACCCTTCAAAGGAAATATAACCGGCAAATTCATAATGACCTTATTTAACTATACAATCCCATGGATATACACTCATACAGATAGTATTATTTGTGGACTACATGATAGACTGTACCAATCTCAACTGTTCTCCCATCAAACACTGGTAGCTCAGCAACACAATACTTGTAAATATCAAATAGCAATTTTATACCATAACGTAAACGAATATGTTGATTACTCCTCCGTGTAGACAGCTGTGGTCATGTGTTTGGTTGTATGAATTTCAGCACACGCAGGGCAGTAATATGCAAAGGAATTGTATGTCGCTTGCTAATTGAGCGAGGCCGTAGTTAATGGATTTACTTTACTCTATAGTACCTCCAAAATAGTGCTACATTAATACTTATTAACTTACTAAAACAAAAAAAGTTTTGTTCGATAAGTTTTTATGATAAACTACAGTATGTGTTTAATAATCTTTTTTCTCATAATATAATAAAAATATTAACTTTGGCATAATAACGGATCACTGTTGTGTGCTTCCAGTTTATAATAGTTTGATCATTTGTCAGGCACCTATTATCAAGTTAAGTTTTTTATCTATATTTATTGGAGAGCCTCAACTATTTTTGTTTCGTGTATAGTTTTTATTTTTTATTAAATGTCAGCTGAAGTTTTAGCCATCTTTCCCTTTCTACACTTATTATCGTTGTAGTGTAATATATTTTTCTTATTATTTGAAAATAGGTAACGAATTATCAAAGCATTTGGTGAGAGATCATCATTTAGCTCGTCCTTCTGGGCATGTCCGCTTTACGTACACTATTTCAGATGATGGACATTATCGCCTTCAGTTAACTCGTCTTGATACTGTACGTGTTGCTGCTCAATTGCTTGGTGAGACAGTTGTTAGTAAATTACTCGTTGAGACAAGGAATCAACAGTTGCCTATCTGTGAATAAAATTTTTTCTACAATCATTTCAAGTATATATCTTTATCACAATCACTTCTCCATAATGTTTTACCCACTTTGTACAGGTTCTTTGATTGATATATTCAAACACCTCAATAAACCATGCTTTTAATCTGTTTCATTTAGCTCCTTTATTTTGATGTTTTTTGTGTTCAGTATAGGATTTATTGTCATATATTTAGTTCTGTTGTTTACAAAACAGATTAAAGTATTTTCCAATGTATTTTAAAATGATAATAAACATCTATGCTTTTATCTGTCTTTATATCTCATCTCCAAAGAGATATATCATAAAATGCAGGCTGGATGCAACAGTCGAATTTATCCCATCTTAGTAACATTACTCTATAACTGATTCTAAATAGCTCATGTCAGTGATATAGTATATCCAAATACTGTGCTGTCGGTTTTATCTTTTGAAAGACTGTATAAATGACATTAACAGAAATTTTCTTAGAATACTTAATAACCTTATTTACCACCCGGAAAAAATGTTGTCTGTTGACAGTCTTCTATTGTATATTTTATTTGTTATCAATATATTCATCCTAATTAGCACTTGTGATAACTTTAAAACATGTTTTATATGATGTATATTTCATGTAATAAACTTGAATGAACACTTTAATCATTGTGTATATAACTAGTTGGAAAACGTTTGTCAGTACACAGCTGTAGTTAATTTCGCCTTTGGTATATTATTGGGCGAAAGCATTATACAGGCCTAGCTCTAAACAAAATCACAAATGAAGTTCAGTGGCCACCGTTTAAGCATGTAGTAAATTAATGGTATCTTCATTATTTTGACGCTCATGTTTTATTCTTGGCCTTTTTCGATTTACATTTCTTAATTTTCGTTTTAAATGATTATGAGTTTAGTGTAAACCCGAAGTGATATACTTTTTTGATGGAGTGATATTTTTCTACACATTAGTATGTCGAACAGAATGATGTAATGTGATGTTTGCGTACACTGATGATTGCCCTCAAGTGTCCCGGTACGGCCAAGGGTGGGGAGGGTCAGGGAAGTCCTACTCACTGCCTTATCGCGGCGGGGAATTTGTTTACGAAATTGAAAGGACGAAAAACGAAGGCCCGGCACCACCTGAGAGAGTTGAAGAACCCTGATTCCAAACCAATGATGCACATAGGCTCCAGGATTCTGAGGGAACAAACGGCGTATGAACCAATTATTGGTCACCGGCTCCCATGGGGCTGCATCTCCAGACGTTGCTCCACTGCCTTGTGGATTAAACCTGTAGGTCGAAGGCTCCGGGTGTGGCCTCCTAAGAAAACCACCCGCTTCGATCTGGGCACCCGGGTAGTATCACAGCCCTCACGCAAGCTGATTGGTTTATGTGGCGCATATGTATTCGGTGCCCCTTTGTTCCAACGTTTCTGTGTTTAAATAAATATATAATTAATAGCCGACTGTCTAACCACTCAAATGGATTAATTCTAGTCAGTTTTATGGTTGTTTGTGGATGCATGTACTTCGTAGTTAAAGTGAGTGTATTTGTTTTCGGGTAGTAAGCTTTCAAAATACCAGCAATTATCACATCTTTAGTCAGGAGATTGACTAGTTGCAATGTTAAAATTAATAAAATGATTATTTAAATGACAAGATAGGAAAAATGCTTCACGAAACCAATAAATAAGTAAATTAATCAGTAGTGTTGACGGTGTGAGATCAAAGTGTAAGAATAGAAGAGGATTTGGAGATGATCTTGGGTCAAACCCCGGAGTTGGTTAGAAATTTCCCAGACCCTCAAGTCGAACTACAGTTGGGAAGTGACTCGGACCAATACGTTCCTGGCTTGACTGGTTTATAAAATTGGCATTGAGAATCTACCTTTCTTTAAGTTTGTAAGTTCTCCGTTTGGTTCTCTAAGATCCACTGGTTTATAGGCTTTTTCTTGGTCAAAAATCTGTAAAGATATTTAGGGTTTGCTTACATTTTGACTGCTAGCATGACCGAGAAATATCTCTTATCGCTCCCAACTCTTGTGTTCCATTTGTTTCTCAGTACCAAATGAGGGCTCTAGTCAGAATCCTTCAGAGAGACTTTCCATTTGTGCCAGGCCCTTCTTCAGCGTGTTGTTGATGTCCTATCCCTCACTTGACCCAGGATCCTCTCTTCTTGTGTGTATTGTATCTGAGGTACATTGTGTAGAGTAGCATTCTGGATGATAGTCCTCACTATCTCATAGCTGTCACCCACTGTCAGCCTCCACAGCTCTCATGGGTATGGAGCATGTTCAATGTGCCTCCTTACTATCGTGTAGCATCATTTAGTGTAACAAAGATAAGGATCTTCCTCATCTATCTGAAACACTTCATTTGTGATCACACTAATTGTGACTGTGCTCTCTACTGGTGCGTGTGTAACTGAACATCCTCGAGCAGAAGCTGATCATTTGTCAGCAAATCATCTAAGTTTGAGTTTTCGTTCCTATCCTACCTCGTAGCGCCACCCATATATCTGGACAGTCCTAAACTCATAAGGGATGTGGCAGGCTACTTATGAAATCACGCGTATGGGTTGCATTTAGCTTGTTAAGGCTTAGGATCGGAGTTTTGAAGTCTTCAGCTAGTAGCATTTGATCAAACTCCACATGTGGTAGTCTTAAAATCCCATTCATTATCTTATTGGTTTCTGATATCTTTATGCGGCCGTTTAATTCCTATAGTCAGGCACTTTGTGTTGTTCGCATTGAAGCAGCAGCAGCATCATCTAATCGCCTCGGTTGATCTGATGCTGCGTGGTGTTATGACTTTGAAACGACGGTTAATGTACATCGCTACTCCACCTGTTTTGTATACCCTATCGTAACTGAAAAGTATCGTGCCCTGCAAGATCACTTCCTCACCTATGATGTCGGGCGACAGCCAACTTCGTGGATTGGTTGAAGCTAGACATTAGCACCGTTGGATGCCGCCTCAGCGGTCTAGTTGGTTAAGTGCCTGGCGCGAGACTGATAGGTCCTGGGTTCGAATCTCGCGGGGAGCGGGATCGTGGATGCGCACTACTGGAACGAAACGGCCGTCCAGTGCCCCCAGGTTTTCCATGGTTGTCTAGCTTCAATTGACTCATGATTTCAACCAGCGATATTTCAGTCAGATCTATGAGATCTAACTTAAAGTTTATTATTATTATTATTATTCACAAACATCTTAGGGTACTTCAGTGTTGTAAATAAACCATTTCGGGTTTCTCCGAAAATGCAATAATACACAATTTTCAATAATGTTAGCATTATATTCGCCATATTTGAAAAAATCAGAGTAATGATAATAGAATAATAACAATAAATCAGGTTCTGTATAATTGGGAAGAATATTAAATTGAGTTTAAAGAAGGAAAGGAAAGAAATAGGGGTCAGAAATAAAGGAGACGTGAAATACGCAAATAGTTTAATAGCTGTGTTTATGTTTCGGATCCCTCCTGATTTGCCCTCTAGTCCTCTTCGGTCACTACACAGGCACTTGACAGTTTGTCTCGTCACTTAGTGCTCCTCTACAGCAGAAACTGTTTTCAGAGGTTTTAAGCAGATTTTCGTTTAACGTTGGCTTCCTCATTTCTGCGCGTAATGGCCGTTATGGATATTTTTACCTTTATGGCGTGTCTCATTAATGAGACCGTAGTCTTTATGTCCTGTTTTCTGGGTTTTTTATCAAGTTTAGTCAACACTAATGTTAGTGCTTGTATGCTTTTCTTGCCTTCGTCTTACCGATCTAGGTCAACTCTCACAACATCTAGTGTGACTGGAGAAGTAATCCTTTTAGATGTATTAGGTCCGGGGGTCTCAATTATGCACCCTCGGTTTCTGGAGCTCACATTCGTCAAACGCGGAGACTTGACGGCCATGAGACGTACCAAACGAAATGGTCTGATACGCTAATCATCATGGTGGGCAGGCCTATATTACGTGATAGTCGACGCAACTGTTGTGTTTAGTGTCTACGGACTTCGTTCCGATTGCCACTAATCAGATCAGGGACCCGGCGGGACATCAAACTGACTGGTTCTTTGTCTTCTTATCACATTATCGATGGTTCTTCTGTGTTTGCTGATCTTCTAGCGACAACTTTTACAGTCCATGTTTTATCGTATCTAAATCAGACTTGAGCGGATCGCCTGACCGATGGTCTCCGGGATGTCAATTATATTTCTTCCGCAAGTTTTACTCAACTTAAATTTGCCCTTAGTGGAGGGGGTCTACTTTTCGTAACATTTCGGACTTTATACAAGTGGCATAGTTTAACTGGATCGATATCATTCCTCTGCACTTTATGGTATTTGTCCTACCGTCCTTCATGCAAAGCTGCCTTACTTTCTAATAAGCTGCTCCTCGAAACCGGAACACTAAATAAAATCGAGTTATAGTTCCCATAGTCTCTTGTTAGCCCATTCAGTGTGTTTTTTGGCAATAAGAGCCTACGTATCAAAACAAAGAACGAGAATGACCGAGTATGAATCCATAGTAATGCATAGGTACCGCAGTACCATAATAACACTAGATCCGGCTACTACAAACGTTGCCTTTAAATGCTTAGTCGTGTCCTTCAACGAGTGATGAGGATGCGACACAATCGCCACTTTCGTTTTGTTTCAGTAGGGCAGTCTGGAATGTCATTTTCTCGCATTTTATTACTACCAGTCTTGAGGAGAGTGTGAATCTGGGTAGGGATGTGATCATGATTACTTAGGTGTTTGAATCGAGTGATCTATATCATACACATTATTCTGGTAATTTATCTAGCGCCTTCTTGACATTTTTACAGTCCTGTCTCTGGAAACGGGGATTTTAGACTTGAAATTAAGCCCCCCATTATGAACTCGACCGCTGCCAATTGTCCTTGTAGATTTAAGGTGAGTATTAGCGGCAACGCATAAAGATTACAATAGATATTTTTCTTATTAATAATAATTCCAAAAAAACTCCATTTACTTGGTTATTCATAGTAATATGACCATGCGATTTCACTGCTTATTATTTTACTCAACGTTGGAAGGTGTAAGGTATGAAGTGGTCCACATATGTTTATATGGGATCTATTTGCTAATGTTTGTGCTCTAAATTATGAGTTATTTTGCATATCGACAACGTGTACGTTTGAACAGTGGAGGGCATAATGATACGCATGATTTTTTAAAGATGGATGACATAGCAACTGTTACAGAATAAATGAAGACATTTGACTGATTAAAAACTGTTATACTGAATATTAATAATTTCATTATGTTTTTGGACGTATTTGCTTCACTCGACTTCTGAACATGTTTGTTTATATCTTTCCCTCTAAACATTTCGGTTTCTCTTTGTCTTTGGTTTGGTATTTGAATGCTTTTGCTCCGGAAACCTAAAAAACTGAAGGTTTGTTTTGTAATTGTTATAATTATTATTAGAACGATATTTGGGTCGATTATTTGTAATTTGTGAATGAAATTGGCTGACTGAATTGGAGTTTGGTTATATTGTTATTTTGGGTTCATAAGTTACAAGTAGATTGGCATGTCGTGCTTCATCAACGGAAGAGAAAAGAGTCGGACGTAAAAGCAACTAACATCCGGCATACGACATGCTTATAGACTTGTATACCTTAACTTTATGACAAATATG